ATGATCCGAGCACTTGGCCGGGAAGACTTGAGGAAGCTCAAGAGCTCCATCGAGGATATCCTGGAGGAGAACAGCTCGGAGGCGGAGACCTCCAGCGCCGAGACCGAGGTCGCATCGACTACGGGATCCTTCGTGGTGATTCCTCCGGCCGGACCGCCCTGCCCGGATGGCCGGAACCAGTGCCACCACGGCCACGAGTCCGTGATTCTGATGTGCCGCAAGGAGGGACTCAACTACCAGCGCCAGTTCAGGCGATGCCCGCTGTGGCGACAGCCGGAGAAGCGGTGCGACTACTTCCAATGGTTGGAGTACCAGCCCTACTGGAAGGATCCGGACCAGACCAAGAAGAAGATCACGGACGACATGAAGGAGCTCAACGAGGACCAGCGGAAGTGCAAGCACCCCGTGGTTTTGGGCACCGGGAGCAACGGCTACCAGAAGAAGAAGACATGCAAGTTCTGTCTCTTGCCCCTGGAGATCACGGAGGCGAAGACGGGAGCTCTTCTTTGGGAACACCCTCACTGGCGGCTGGTTCAGAACATGAAACGGGACCGCCAGGACGTCGACATGGGAGGCGGACCGGCCTCGCCGTCACCTTCGATTGCAACCATGGATCTGGTCTCCATGATGGGCGACACCACGCCCCAGTCGGCACCTCCATCACCACCGCCGGCGCCGAACACCCGATCCAAGACCGTCCAAAAGGCCACCAACGCCAGCAAGAAGCCAGTGGCCAAGAAGGACCCGGAAGCCCCAATGCCGGACGACGAGGAGTACAAGCAGTTTCTGGAACGGCAGCAGTTCCGGGCTTACAGCAAGCGAAGCCAAGCGGCTACGAGCTCCAAGGCCCCGCCAAGCAGGACCTAGAAGCCACAGAATGCTCGGGCCTTCTTAGGCGCAAGCTCGAGAGCGAGCTCAAGCGCTTTGAACAGATATGGTCTACGCTGGTAGAATGCCTAGGTCCAGATTCTGAGCGAGCGCTTTTCGAGTTGAAACAACAGACTGTGCGTGAGCTTCAACGGCCCAGTCGGAAGAGTTTGGCTTTTTATCAGCAGTTATTTGGGATGAGCGAGAAGCAATTACGGAAGGTCGCAGCGGTATATAGTCCTTTGTCAT